TTGCTCCCAACAGACAAAGCCATAAAAGAAGAAAGGGAACTAGCGGTCAGACCATTGGAATTTAGGAATTCCACCACAAAGCTCAATCAAGTGACTGCACTATCCTAGAGGTATTTTTTTCTTTTTCTTTTTTTTCGTTTTGTTTTTCACATTAAATTCATATTTAATTGCTTATTTTCTCCTGTTTTTGCTGCTTTGCATTGTTGTTGTTGGATTGTTAAAAAATTGGAAATGGCATGAACCAGATTAAGGAAAAGGAAATGTTTCTTGTGAATGCATGTTAATTGTTTGAAAAATTGCCAAAATGAAAAAAATGAATTTTAGGGACTGTTTTGCCTTAATGTAGTCTTTTATGGTTACTTACTTGTCAAACTAAGATGATAGTTGTATTGTAGAAGTTATAAGGAGGGTTTTGGCATAATTTTTATGATTTTTGGTGAAGGTTTGAGGGTTTTAAAAAATAAAAACTGAACTGATTTCTTGGCATTTTGACCACTTTCGGCTCATTTTTTATAAAAACTAAATCCGGAAATGGAATCTATGCGAAAAATCGAGTGAGGGAGTGTATTTTGGTGAAATTCGGTGACCGGAGAGATCACCGGCGACCACCGGCGACGGCGGTCCGGTGGCGGCGGCGCCACCGGCAGCCGCCATGGCCGCCAGCTGAAGCTGAAGCTTCGGCTGGCCGAAGAAGAAAGAAGAAACGAGAGAAAGAAGAAAGAAAAGAAAAGAGAGAAAAAAAAAAAAGAATTTGGGCTGATGTTTATTTTTCTGATGGGCCCAGAGTTAGTTTTGGTTGGGTTTTGAAAATGGGTTTTGGTTTATTTTTCTTTTGGGTTTCTGTTGGGCTAAGAGATTGGAGCCCATATATTTTGGTCGGGTTTGAGTGATAAAAGACGGGCTGGCCTGTGTGTTTGGCCTTGGATTTTCGGCTGGGCTTAGGTAGCATCCGGCCCAAATAAATAAAAATGATGGCCCAGTGGCCTGATTTGTTAAGGAATAAGAAAACATTTTAGCATATCAGTCCCTGTGCTTTCAAGTATTTTTCACTGTGGCCCAGAACATTTTAAATTCCTTTCAACTCGGTCCTTAAATTAATTGCACTTTGATCCCTGAATTTTATCTTTCATTTAATTTTGCCCCCTAAACTTTGGAAAAATATAATTTTTATCCCCAAAAGTTTTTTTTTGATTTTTGCAATTCAGTCCCTGATGAATTTTGACTCTCTTTATTATGATTGTTTCTTTTCTTTAATAACTAATTATGCTACTTTTGAATATACTTAACTTGTAATTTTTAGATTTGCTTAAATTTCTTTATGTTTGACATGTTAAGGTGAATTTGGTACTTTTATTATTTTCTTTTTCAATTAAATTGGTGCCATGATCCTTTTGTTCATTGTGAGTATAATTAGGACAATTTGACTCCATTTAGTCACCACTTCAAACGGGAGGTACTCCTATTTTATTATTTCAATGTCAATTACGTGCTCCTATGTGCTCCTATGTGTTCCTATGTGTTTATATATTTTATATGTTTTATTTATTGCATTTAAATGTTCATTTAAATTTTCTTATATTATATTTGTTTAGCTAATTTTTATAATGATTCGAGAGACATCTAGATACCTCAAAATGTAATAGATAGGATAACTAATTTTATTTTGTCATATTTTTCCCATTTTAGATTGTAGTTAGATTTCCCCGATGTAATAGATAGGTTGCGTGTTTATGTGGCTTATGTGTTATGTGTTTTATCCGCTTTTCTTAGGATTTTGGCATCTAGATATTATGTTTACGTGTTATGTGCTACGTGCTCTTACGTGTTTATTTGTTTTAATTTATGTTTTATTTGTTTCACTATGAATTGTTAATGCATGACGTCACCACACTAGTCCAACGCTAGTTGTGGCTTTTCCCTCTATTTACTTGCTAGTCCAACGCTAGTAAGGATTTTTAGAAATGGGCTAGTCCAACGCTAGACCCTTTAGGTCATCTTGCGCTAGAATCATCTTTGTGCGTTATTCACTACATTTTCATGCATACTTTCATTTTTAGGATTTTTTCTCATTTGCATGATATTCCCTATTTTATTATCCCCTACCCGCTATAGGTGCTAATCATGTCATTTAGAATTGCATCCCATTTAAGCTAGTTCATTTGCTTGTTCATGTTAGGATAATTATTTTTTCAAACATGGGAAATGGGTGATTATAACTTTCTAGTTTAAATACCCTATTAATCCATGTATAAGAAAATTATGTCACGAATTTTTTTTGCCTCCCGTACCCTTTATGTTGCATTCCCTTTTTCTTTGATCACTTATATATATGTATATAATTTAATTTCTTTTCTTTTATTTTCTTTTTCATCATTTGCATCCTTGTGACACCTTCGAGGATTTATTTTGACCTTCGCAATTAATGCGATTGGTTCAATTAAACCCTTGAATGAACATGTTGTCCCTTGCGATATTTTTTAGATTTGCATTCATATAGAAAACATCCAAATGTGATAAATTAAGGGTTAGATTAGGAAAATTTTGACTAAACCTCCCAACTAGCTTAGACTAGGTTGAAAGGGTGCCTTAGATTTGAGTTAATCGAATCTTTGCCTTCCCTTTCTTCAACCGTGACTCCCGAATCCATTTTCTCTTGTTTTCAAAGACCTGGAGTTGTCAAAAAGGGTTTTATTTTGTTTTACTTTATTTTTTGGGTGACTTGGTACACCAAAACTCCATACCAAGTGGCGACTCCTGTTTTTTCTTAAAAACCCTTTTAGACTAAATTTTGGACCCAAATTGTCGCATTCTTTTTAAGTCCCATTCTAGGTCCCTTTTAACTTGTTTAAAAATAAAATCATATCTTTTATAAACCTCACACTTTATTTTTCTTTTCCATCGCGAAAATGGGGCGCGACACAATACATATGAGGTATTTTTTTATAAAATTTGTAATATTTTATTTTTCCAATCAGCTAAAAATATAATAAAAATCTTATTTTTCTTTTAAATTCATGTTCTTTAATTTCTTCTTATCCAAAATTCATTGTTATATTGTTGTATGTTCAATTTTGTAATAATGAGTGACTAATTATAACTAAAAACAAGTAGAACCATTATTGAAATGAACTGGAGCCACAGCTGAAATTAGAACCGATGGTCCCAAAATCGTCTATAAGTGCTGTTCCGATTCTACCTTTTAAAGAAATCGGACCAGCGGTTCTACAACGGTTGGCACCTCGACTTCCTATTTCTACTTCTAATCCTAAACTATACTAAAGGGAGGATGATCCAAAAGGGGCCAAGGAGGAACCCGAGGGAATTGAAGAGGTGATTAGGGAGAGGGAATGACCCAAAGGGTTGGGGGAATCTGGGAGACCAAGGCTTCATTTGGATAGGGAGAAAAGGACAGAAAAGAAAGTATTCAGAGAGAAAGGACGGTCATTTCTTTCATTTGGAAGTTTTAACAAGACAGAAGAGAAGTGAAATGAACGGATAAAAGTCTCCCTCCAATTGTTGAAAATTTTTCTGCCCAAAAGTGGAAAGAAAAGGACGGAAACTTGTTGGGTGCCAAAAGACATTTTTAATATGACAAGTTTGTCCTTTCAAAGCTGATACAAAAATTCATTATTCCCAATATATCCTAAAATTGATTTCTAAAAGCACCGCAAAGCTTTCTTGGTCATGTGTCCTATATTTTCAATACTTCCAGCAAGTTGAGAAAACTTGGCTTTCTTCCGTTTTTCACCCATAAATCACCAAACAAAAGGTATTTCTTTAACTCAATCTCTCTTTCTTTCTTTGCTTAGTCTCTAGAAAATTGCTCAGTCTTTGTTCGTGTAATAGAGGAAACCCATAAAGAGCTGATATGTTATGGGCAATTTCTTTTTTTCTTTTTTTACTTTCACATATTTAATTTATGTTAAATACAAAACCTACTAGTTTTCCTTTCTTAAAAATATTAGTATATCACTTTTAAATTTTACTTATAAACATTTATGTATTTAACATAAATTATATGATTCAGAGTAAAATGCCTATAAATAGCTAGTACTTTATTCATATAATAGAAGAAACCCGTAAAGAGCTAGTAAAAAGTGGGTAATTTCTTTTTTTACTTTCACGTATTTAATTTATGTTAAATACAAAACCTACTAGTTCCCATTTCGTAATAATGTTAGTGTACCACTTTTTGAATTTCACTTATAAACATTTATGTATTATTCAAAGTAAAATGCTCATAAATAACTAGTACTTTATTCATATAATGGAAGAAACTCGTAAAGAACTGGTATGTTATGGACAATTTTTTTTACTTTCAAAAACTTCATTTATATTAAATACAAAACATGCTAGTTTTCCTTTCGTAAAAATATTTGTGTAACGGCTTTTGAATTTTATTTGCAAATATTTATGTATTTAACATAAATTAAATGATTCAGAAAAAATACCCATAAAAACCTGGTACTTGGCTCATGTAATAGAGAACAACCATAAAGAATTGGTACTTTATGGGATATTTCTTTTTTTAAAAATATTTAATTTATGTTAAATAGATAACCTACTAAGCATTTCCGGTCAATATCAAAATCATATGTCAAGAATACCTAAAAGATACTACAAGGACTTGAGGCGATTTACATACATGCAAGAGAATCGAAGTCCAGCAAGAAATTTGTTTTATTATTCACCTTGTGGGAATGCTTATGCAATTGTTTTAAAAATTTGTCTTGTCCAAATATTCTATTTATGAGAATAAGAAAGCTAATTTTTGGACTTTGATTTACAAATTGAAAGGGCAAATATGTAAAGTTGTATTCTCATAAAATTCTTTTTTTTCATATCTCTCAAACTTTCAAATAAGAGAAAGATATTTCTTTTTTTTTCTTTTGTTAAACTCCCAAACGAAATATGCATCTTTTCCCTTCTTTTCTTTTCTTTCGTAAGCTATCTTTTCTTTTCTCTCCCTTCATAAACTCCCAAACTAAGCCTAAATTAGTATTGATCCAGACAGCGATCCTAACAGATGCATCATGCATATATAGTATATACTCGTTGGCGAAACTTTCCGAAAACTCTGAATTTTTAGAATGCAATCAGAATCGAATCCTTTGACCCACACATAAATAGAGTGTTAAAAGCTCGTGGCTGAGTTGTTGGCTTTCCCCGTTCTATCAATCCTGCAATGAGTTATAGGTTTGAGCCTGAAATCAGCAGACGAAAATGAAGAAAGGTACCAAAAGAAAACAACCGCTGAATAGTTCCTCATCATCTTCAATAACCAAATCCCTGAAAAGGTCGAAAACCATAGGTATAGGGAACACAGAACCATACCCAGACCACCCACGGCCCACCCCAGATGAATGCTTAGCAGTAAGAGACGCCCTCTTGGCCCTTCATGGTTTTCCCAAAGAATTCCTAAAGTACCGCGAGCAAAGACTAAAGAAAGAAAATCCAAGCTTTGAAAAGAATTCTTTGAAACCTGAGCCACCGGAGAAATTGCACGTTGAAGAAAAGAGTGATTCTTCAGGAAAGTCAGAAGGGGAAGAGAGTGTGTTGGATGGTTTAGTCAGCACTATTCTGTCACAGAACACTACTGATGTTAACTCTCAAAGGGCATTTCTTTCTCTCAAGTCTGCTTTTCCCACCTGGGAAGATGTAAGCCTTTTAATTTATCTATTTGTTTTGGATCGATGCTGTCAGTTCATTGGATTGAGAATTCTTTTGGGGGGTAAATTTAGTGTTTTTTTTTTTTTGAGCAATAACAATAGTAGTGACCTACTGGTGAGATGAACTAGATGGTAAAATCCCATATAGATTACTGGAAGTTAATGCAAGTTTCGCGCTCTCTGGATTTAACTGGCATTTGAATTTCTCACCTGTCAGTGGAAAGAGTTCTTAAAATGCTCTCCCCTGGCTAATTGGCTAATTGGGCTAAGACGTTTGGTTGTAAAATGTAGTTTTATGATTGTTGTGTCCACTTTTGTGCTAATTAGAGTGTTAGGCCCTGTGATTCAAAGTTTTATCTTGATAATTGGAACTAGATTGTCTCTACTGAAGTGTAATACTAGTTGGTTTGGTATTCAAAAAAACCCAAGTTTGCTGAGAGTTTTACTCTCACATGGAATGTTATGTGAAAAAGTCTGTAAGTTACATTGACTTTCGCCTGACAGAAACTCAAATGGGGTATTTAGCAGGATTATAGTAACATAATAATTTGCTAAGAGATGGATGCTTGGGCTAGTTGTGGGCTACTAATTGTAGTTTTTTTTTTCATGTACGTTGGCTGGATTGATCTATCCTTTCATGATCTATCGCAAGTTGCACATCAGTAGCCAAATTTTTTTCTTTTGGTTGAACTTGTTCTGCATTAAGTGGAATGTAATAATTACATTTTGATTAGGTTGTTTCTTAAACTTCTGTAGAAAAGTTTCAAACATTGCCATCCATTTTTGTCATTTTCACCTGAGACATTGTGCTTGACATCTCCTGCAAAATTTTTATCTCCAAATTATGATCCTTTTGTTTCTGGAGCTACATTTTCTGTAAAATGCTGGCACTAGGATAATAAGCACGTAGTTTCCAATTTAGAACATATGGTTGTCTTGATTAATTTTATAGCTTGATTGTATGTTGATTGGTTAGAGGAGCCCAATGTTGTTAGGCAACATCTTGTGGATTCCCATTGACTGTAAATGGCCTACTTTGGGTATTAGATTGGGTATTGGAGCATTCTGAAAATGCATCAAGATGAAGTTAGCCGAAGAATCCATGTATACTGATCAAATTTTTGGGTGAGCTTAATTCATTTTCTCATATAAGTACGACTCATGTTCATGGCTTTCAATTTGGGTGGCAATTTCTTTTTCAATTTACAATTTCTTACTCTGTATTGGCTTACTCTGCATGGATGAAAAATGGTAAACCAATATTTTCACTCATTAGCTTTTTAAATGGTTGAGGTTCTTGCTGCTGAGCCAAATCATATTGAGGATGCTATAAGATGCGGAGGTCTGGCACCAACCAAGGCTTCTTGTATTAAAAGTATTTTGAACTGCTTGTTCGAAAAGAGAGGAAAGTTGTGCTTGGAATACCTACGAGACTTGTCTATTGGAGAGGTCAAAGCAGAGCTCTCTCAATTCAAAGGAATCGGTCCCAAAACAGTAATACATGCATCTTTCCACCTTTTATTTTTGATTCTTCTGATTGTTATTTCCTGTAGATGATGATGGACTTTAGTTGAGTTGAGAAGTTGAATTCTCTTTTCATATGTCAAGGACTAGATGACTGCACTAACAGTATTGCCCAAAGGTGCTGAAGTAAAAAATTATTACAGTTGATAGGATTCTATGATGATGAATGTACATAATATTTAAATGATTCCTTTTCCGCCTTTTCCTGCAGAGGTTTAAGATCCAATACCTGTTAATTCTGGGGCCTTCTTATGTGACAAATAAAGAAATCCAGCCAGAACAATTTCTACTGACTTGGATTTGGCTGCTGCTTCAGAATTTTAAGCATTGCTAACGAGTAACAAGTAGTTGAAGTTGTGTCTGAAGCTTTCACAATGATCAAAAGATGTAATATTCTGGGCTTTGTCTTAATGATTTGGTCAATATGGTTAAATATGTATAGAGTTGCAAAAGCAAGTCTTTGGTATAAAATTTTTTGTAAAGACAAAGCTAGTGTAACGCAGTAGTTAAAGATTTATAATTCTTTTGATTTTTCTGTGCTTTATTTACCTAGTAGGTTTGTCAGGATAATTATATCTTATGAAAGAATTTGAAGAAGGTGCGATGGTAGCAACATGTATCACTCTTTCCTGAATATTTTGATAGCCTCTTAACTGTTGGTTTATTTTAAATGACTCTGAACCATATGACATGCTTTTTCATGCAATGGATCTGAATAAGTTCTTGTTGCTAGGATAGTTGAGCTTAAAATAATGGATCAAAATGATATTTATGTGATGGTGGCCTCAACAGGATTATTCCCTGACAGAATTGAGGAGAAAAATCAGCTGAATCATTTTACCAAAGTTAATTGACTTACCATTCTTTGAGAGTTTTATATCCTCTGGTTGTAGCATGGACCCTGTATGCATGAACTCCTTATGGCTGTTTCCATATTATTAGGAAACAGAGGATGACATGGGCAGGCCCTTGTCAAATTGCAAAGCAGAAGATCTTTATTTTGTTGAGACTGGGCTACAAAGACATTCATACCTATGTTACCTATGTTAGCAAAAGGTCAAAAACAAAGACATTCGTGTCTATGTCAGCAAAAGATCAAACTCTTTCAGATATTCTGCTGTAGGATCACAAGTTAAAATGTTCTTAACCTCTGTAGGTAACAATCCTTATGAATTGGGAATATCTTCTCCTAATGCTGCTCCTATCAGACAGAGTGACTATTGGAACTTATTAATAGAAAGAAATCCTTCTGCTAGGAACTGTAAAAATGCCTGTTGTTTAGTGAATTGTGCAAATGGATTCTAGCTTGACTAAAGGTGTAACCTCTATTGACTTTAATGTAGAATGGAAATGAATGTACTTCTGGTTCTCATGATTTGACATGTACTGGGGTGATATATTTGATGTCAAATTGGTATTCAGTTGGCCCCAATTAAAATTAATGAGAAGCAAAGAAACCAACCAATTCAAAAGTCAGGATCATCAAGATTGATGGGCGAGATTGAGTTTAATTGGCTTCAACCTACCATGTACAGCGGCTGGTCAGATTTAGGTGGATATCAAGAATTTAGGATTGGAGACTTCTAATAGGGGTTTCTTTCTTCTTTCGATTGATGGTCTTTGAGAAAGCCAGAAGAATGGACAGGTTAAGGTGGATCTTATTCAAACGTTAAGTATTCAAGGTGCAGTTCCAGTGATGTATGATAAACATCTAGTAAATATTTCTAGCTTTCAGGATAAGAAATATGATTCTAGAAGGTAAAAGCAGATTTGACTTCAATCACTTTTCTCATAAAAACAAGGGAGATTGAATCATTAATTTTCATATCAGTCCTATATGGATAGATTTGCTCAACAGTTATAAATAAATTTATGTGTTTAATGGTGTGACATAGAAATTATGAATGCTGTTGCATTGGACAGTTTCTGCAACAGCAACCAACTGCCAACCATAGATGCTTGATCTTCTAGGAGCAGGGATATATCATTGTTTCTATTCTGAGAAATGATGATTTGTTGCTTGATGTTATAGATTGTCTTTAGTAGATTTTAAAAATGCATTTTTACCATTTTATTTCGAATTCTTTTTTTTTTTTTACAAGTTTCTTTTTACTTACCACCTCCCTTTTTCTTAAATCCAATTTTAGGTGGTATGATACTTTCCTACAAGCCTAGGAGATCACGGCTGTATTGCTTTTTGCGGTGTGCCTATCGGACAGTTTGGGGTCATTTGATCTCTTCCTCTCCTTTGTTTGTTTCAATTTAGATTTCTGAGCTGCCACCCATTTAGTTTTCCTTAGTTTGGTTTTCTGCGGTCTTTGTTTCCCTGTTACAAGTCCCCCTTTGTCTTTCTTTTGCATGATATGCATCAAGTCGATAGTTAAAAGGTATATACTTTGATTGCTAATATGAGCCATATACGCAAGAAAAAGGCATATACTAATGCTTTTGGTTGATGCTTCTCGGCAATTGTTTAGTCTTCTTTTTAGAGCCGATGAATTTGAATAAAGATATGCTTGTGAAGTTCAGTTCGTATATAGTGCATCCACTAATAAGGCCCATAGAACTGGAATGTGTACAAAATATGGATCATGGTAGTTTGAAAGAATGTCTACATTCTTTATAGTTCCTAATACAAACTGTTGAAAATAAAATCACGGAGGTTGCTGTTTGTCGGTGGATTTAATGATCTTATGTGGATAACAGGTGGCATGTGTCTTGATGTTTCATCTTCAGCAAAACGATTTCCCTGTGGACACTCATGTGAGTATTGCACTTTCCTAAATCTTTTTCCTAATCATTGCAAATTTAACATGTCAAGCACTTTTTTAGGTATTCCAGATTGCAAAGAGCATTGGATGGTTACCTGTGTTGGCAGACGTAAAAAGGGCATATCTTCATCTAAATTGCCGTATCCCAAACAACCTAAAATTTGACTTAAACTGTCTCTTGTTTACTCATGGTAAGGTCTGTCGACAATGCTCTAGAAAAGGAGATTACAGGCTGAAAAAGGAATCTAAAGATGAATCCTGCCCATTGCTTACCTAAAACACTCTGAAACAGAATAGTGTTAAGATATGTCTAGACATCATTCTCATTCTTCATCTTTGTAATTAAGCACATCCACATGGCTGTTCCTTTCTTTCAATTGATCAGGAAAGAGCTCTATTTGATGAGAATGGGATTCTGTTTAGCTGCTTGTCATGGACCATTTCTTGATACATGACACAAGTTGGAGCCATATCTACATTACAGCCTTATGCATTTAGCCTTCATGCTTGTTTGATCTTCATTATCAGCAAAACAGAGACAAGAAGTTCATTGCCTTAGCTATCTGATGCCTTCTTGTAATGACTTGATAAAAATCCTTTAATTGGAAGACTGAAAGCAGGGATTTAATTGAAGTGGGAGTTGCAGGGAGTGTCACTCCACTACAACACATTCCATTGTGCTCTGACTTGTCATAAAGCTTAAGGTACATGGTACAATGAGCCACTTGCGCAGATGGAAACAAATTTGTCTTGCTGGCCATTATAAATTTCTAGTATACAAGCACTAACTTAGTTTAACTGAAAATCAGATAGTTGGCTGTAGAAAATAGTGTTTCATTCGTCAAATAGATATGGCCATAGCTTTGAGACACTAAGTTGCTAGATCTGCTTTCATCATCGTCCACACTAGAAATTCTGTTATTTCTGGCATGCAACTCAGAAATTAGTGGTTCTTTTTATCACGAAACAGTTTCCTATTAAGTTGAGTAAGACCACCTATTGTGGAGAACAGTAATATCTTTTTGTCAATTCTCTACTTTTTTTTTCGGTTATTCTTTGGGGAGGAAAATCACTGTGTTATTGAGATTCGAATATTATCTCTATTGACAATTTGATATGGTAGGAGTTATTTGAAAGATAGCAGCATTGTTGTGCCGATGGATCTCATGTGATTTTAACTTTTGTTCGGGATGATGGTATATATGCTGTTTGATTGTTGAATTGCGACTTGAAAGTTATATTGACTATTAAAGTAGCACTCCATTTCCTGATTTAGGATGGACGAGGACAGTTTGATGAATATTTATTCTAAAAGTGGTCAAGTCTTAATCCTGTAAAGCACCAGTTGTAGTTGTCTGCATTTGGAACCTTCTTTCTTTTACTCTGTAGTTTTAACTCCTTAGTAGGTTTATGTATATATGCACGAGTCAAGTCAATGTCGAGATACCTGAAGGTTTTCATATCAGGCAAGAATCAAGAATATGGGCCAAAACAGTGCAATCTCTTTCCTCCTTTCACCCGCAAGGAGTTGTGTTGATTACTTCTCTTGTGATACTCCTGTTGATAATAAAAGATTGAAACTCTTTGGCTTTGAGATAGATTCTTGCCAGAAGAGTACCACTGCTCCTAGATCTGAAAGAGATGAAAGTGTAAGTTCCTCAGACACCGTTTTGTCTCGAAGGCCGACAAAAATCTTCCAGGAAAGGGTTGTATATCTGTTGATTCATCAAAGGTTGTACATTCTAGGACTGATGAGCTGCCTAAAGCCGCAGGAAATCCTCTGTGTTCCATTGAGCTTCAGAAGTACAAATGTGAATTCTGTTCCAAGAAGTTCACAAACTCACAGGCCTTTGGAGGTCACCAGAATGCTTATAGAAAGGAAAGGCTGATGAAAAAGGCATACAGCTTCAAGCCAAAAGGGCAGGCTCTAATGCCAAAATTTTATCTTTTTCTGACTAGCGATGCTGTAATCTACCATTATTCTCCCCGAGATCTTGGAGATCTGCCTTTCTGCCTTTCTGTTTGCATTGTTGGTAAATCTCAGATATATAGTTTTGCTTCTCTAAATCAACATCAAAACTTCGATGGTCTCCATTTCTCACATTCTAAAGCTCTTTCTCGACACTGCAAATTTCAACTGTGAACTGGATAGCAACATGCGGACTCGAACAGGATTAGAGGGAATTTCTACTTTCGTCTAGGCAGCATGAAAAGGAGAAGGTTTCTCTTTTGGGCTTTTTTGGGGGGTGGGGAAGATGCTGCCTGATTGTAGCCAACAATCAAAGCTAAGCATCCTAAGGTGATAGCATTTGTCCTGGAACTTTTTTATCTTCTCCAGAAGTTGTCTTTCTTTGGAATAACAGGCTTGTGTGTGTAATCTTTCTTCTTAACCCTGAGAAACAAAATTGGGATGCAATCATGTGTGCACTTATCATCTTGTTTCATAAGGGGAGTTCCATTTTCACACCCTCCAGCCTCCCTAGCCTATTTCTTCCATCCCATTTATCTTCTAAAAATTTAAACATGTCCTTAGCAATCATAGATCATGAGAATTCCCCAACTTGGGTAATCAATTTTAGTATAATGTCAACGATAATGAAGTAGCAGCTAATTTTGTCAACCTGAAGTTGTAGTGATAATCAGCGATAATCCTTGATATTAAGTGTTTTTCTCTTCCATTAGAAAATGGGAAGGAAGAAACAGGGAGGGAAGATGATTGAGGTGAGAATTACACCCTCTTTCAAATGCCTGGTTCTCCTTAGAAAGTTCAAATCCTTTTGGTGATCATGAGTATACAAATTACAAAATATTCTCCTTTGAAAGTAATAAGAACAAACTAGATTCTAAATTTTGCAAAACATATTTACTTTTCTTTAATATTTCATTCTTTTTTTTTTCTTTACCCTTCTTCCTTCCTCCTTTCCAAATATAGCAAGTTCTTCAATTTGTGTTAATTGACTTCTCATGGTAATCCCTAAACTATTTTTAAATTCTTGTAAAAGTAGTATCATTTGATACTTGCTCTGGTCACCATTTTGGTTAATCTATATTAATTTTTTTATTACAATAGAATATTATTGTTTTTCTTACTAAACAAAATGTGAGAGAAAAAAAGAAATTAAAATTTTAAGTGGATGATAAATGGATAATGAGATGATCCACACCCATCTAAGATTATATCCATTTAAAACTAACCTGTTCTAATTCATTGACTAGACGGTATATATGATTTGATCCTATTATACTGATTATCCAATTATGATCCATCCAAGTCCATCCAATTCACTGATTTTGATAGCTCCAATCTATAACTACCTACATTATGAGTGTTTGCAAATGGTCCTCCACCTTAAAATCTACAGTATACAGAACGGGTAAAACCTAGACTGTTCCATTTATTCTCCTTAATTAAATTCTGTGTTAGAAGTACTACAGCCCACCATGTCCATTTGGTAATTAGTTCAAAACCTTTCTCACTAGGCAAAACATGCCTATTGTGTACATTTATTACGATTTCTTCTGGAATAGTTCAAAACATATCGCCACTTTTGATGTTTCACATTACTTTTTTTATTAATTATTTTCTAGTCCAGTCTAAGGGGAGGGAGAGCCGATGGGATTTTCTTGTTGGAGAAAGTCACAATTAAGTGGCAAAGTGGGAGGCAAGGGTTGAATACCTGACCTTCTATCCCACCAACAAGATTTAAATGTCTTGGTGGTACTAACAGCCCAAGAGGCTCTTGGCTTTCGCATTATTTTTGTTATATGATTCTCTTGTAAATTGCCTTTTTCAACAACCAATTTTCATTTGCAATGAACATCATTTGGAGTTGCCTTTTAAAAAACAGAATATCATTCGGAAGACTTTCTTGGACTGTTATATTCAACATAATAAAGTCTGATATTTATACTTAACTAAATTGCTAAGGATGTTCCAAGTAGTTTATGATTGTTTGAAGATCCTTTCATGCATTATGTTAGGTATCAAAGAACATCAATTGTGGTTTAAAGGGATCCAGCCATGAACAAAAATATTGCATAGAAATGCAAGGGACCAAAAAGCATATATCCATGGTCATATCTGAAGCTTTCAGATATCTTTGATTCTTGTAGACTACAAAATTCAGTTCATGTAAACTTAGTTCCTACACCATTTAAAAGAAAAACAAAACATTTCCTAGAATCATAAACATTACCCAGATATATTATTCACTTTTGCATCACATCGTCAAATATAATCTATAACAATTGATAGCACAATTATCATTGATCACCATAATCAGTGCCAACAAATTAATTCTTCCCATTAATTAAGAAGATGTACTATGTAAAGCAATCAAATCTGGATTAGCACTAAATTAGCTGCTGCAGTAATCAGCATTTTTCTTAATTTCCTGAACTTGAAGATGATCATTTATCGTCAGTACTCCATTTTGCCTTAAGCTGAGTTTAATACGTCGCATCTTTTCCTCACCTCTCCTTCCTTGCCAGTTTTGACTCCATAAATGCTAACCTTTTCCATTGCCCTGGCAAAATCATCGAAAAATGCTTGGCTGTCCTGTGCATACTTATCCACAAGAGGCCTAGTTCTGGGGTCTGAGAACAGAACTTGATCAGATGCTAGAATTCCCAATCCATTCTGCAAATTCTTGAAAAGTCTATTGTCGAATACACCGGGACTCATCACATCCAAGAAGGCTGATAATCCTTCATTGGTCGTGTAATTTGCGCAAGTCTTCTTCAACCCTTCGACTAACTTAGGGTTTATACTGGGATCAACCTTGGGACCGAAAATCCTGTCTGCGAATTCAGAACAATGAGCAAATCCTATTGTATGGCCACCACCAATTAGTGCAACCATTTCAGGAATGGTGAAATTCTTGGCTGCAAAAATATTGATCATTGTGTCCGCAGACGCGTTTGACCTGGCTAAGTTTCCATCAACCTGTGAGGCCTGAGAGACAAGGCCGTCTAATCGTCCCAAAGGGACGTTATAGAAAGGTCCACCGGTGATTGAAACAAGATCACGAGTGGCTACAGCTAGAATATCAGAGCAGGAGACAACGCCCGGGCAGGAAAGCTCAATGGCGGTTTTTGCACGAGCAATTAGATCGAATGCATCACCCGCAAGGGAATGGTTGATGTCTGCATCCATCTCGGTCTTATTGAAGGCGGTGGGCTTTACCAGAACCGATGCATCACAACCACCAACCATACAATCGTGGAAGAAGACACGGAGGGTGGCGGCAGCTGTGGTGGGACTTTGAGCTTGTTTTGCTTGGGTTACATCTCTCAAGATATCTTCAAATCTTGGACATTTTTTTGCATAGTAATCAAGAGTAAGAGCTGATTCTGAACAAGGGATGAAACAGACTAGAGATGAAATTAAGAACCAGAGAACTAAATTGGCTTCCATGGTTTAGAGAGAGAAGAAGATATCAATAGGACCTCCTCCTCTCGCAGGAAAAGGTGGAGCTGTGGAGAAAGATGATGGTATATGACGTAAACCCAAAAAGGGGGAAAAGAGTATAGAAGAAAATCAATTGAGATGATGAAGTTGGAGGAAATGGAGTGTCGAGGTTAGGAGGAGTTGTAGGAAAAGGATGGCTCGTAAGTGTGCAAGGTTTGTTTGTTTGTTTGTTTGCCACTTGCTAATTGCCATGCATGCATGGGGATGATAATAAGGTCTTGGGTTGACCGTGGAATCCGCTTGACTCAATGACTGGATGTTGAAACATTTTAGAGGGGCCCTACAACCTCATACCACAATTAGTACTTGAGTTACGGTAGGATAGAACCGCATCACCCTAGTTTAATTTAGGTGGCTATTTGATTTTTTTTTTTGAAATTTTTTTTATTTTAATGTAAGTGAGAGGGTTGAACTCAGACCTCTCGCTTACACTTCAAACTCGAGACATGTCACTTGTATTCCTTATCCTCGTATTACTTAATCCATTTTTTCGCTTCCCGACTAATTAGTTTGTTTAATCACACTTACAATTGCAAAGACATTACATCCAATTTCCCTCAGTATAGGTTCTGATTAATCATATGGGTACTCAATAGATGTCAACGGCCAAGGGCGGAACCAGTAGGGAGTTCGGGGCAACGAGTAGGGAGGGCAGAACCAGCAGGGACTTTTGCTCAATGGGATATTTGAACTATCACTCCTTTTCAAACATTTTTTGACCTTACCGTTTAATTAATTGATTAATAAAATTCAGGTAGTTATTGATGGTTTTAGCATTACATATTGACTTGTTAAAACTTTATCTATTATGTCAGGAATGTTTTTTAAAGCTAAACTATGTTCATTTTTCAATTAGTTATTTCATTTTCATATTCATTTTTTATCTACCAAATTTCAATTTTTAGTACTTGGTTCTACATAGATATGATCTTCTATATCTGAAATTCAAACGAATTTGTATATTTTAAAAAGTTTTGATCTATAAACATATAAAACCAGTCAATGTACTTATGACTTTCACTTTGAAATATGATTTGCTCTTCAAAGTTTGATCCTAGAGAACAGTCGAATTATCAAGAAGATAGAAAAATAAGTAGTTATATTAATACATAAATTATTGCATAATTTGGTTTATTAATAAATACACGACTTACTTATTCAAGTTTCATACACTTAAGTTTAGTGTTGTTTTGTTAAAGTAACTCAGTTTACATGAAATTGTTGATACATGAAAGTCTGCTCTTTATCCCTTGTTTACACACACACACACACACATACACATATGTATATATATCGTTTATCTATCACGTCTATCTATCAATCAAGACTTCATTTGTGGATTCTGCAAAGCTCCGAATGGATTGGATTCTTTTTAATTTTTTACTTTGGGTGTAATTAGATCAAAGACTGGATAATTGACCACCAACAATTAAATACAAACCAAAATTCTTAAATTACACTTGTGAAAATACAATTTTGCAGTGCGCATGTTTAGTCCCTCCTAACAAAAAATTCAGGTTTCACCATTGTCGCGACTACCCTTATAATTGTTTATTGCCCACGGCAATTCTTTGTTTTCATAATATTTTTTCAAGTTTTTTTAATAGAAGAGGGTTGAGATTTAAGAAATAAAGAGGAGAAAGAGGGATGTGAACCTAGGATCTTTTAAGTCT